GAGGTGGTCCCACCGGTGCCCTTCGCCTGGCTGAGCATCCAGGCCAGAGTCCGTGCTGCCTTTGGTGAGGCCTCTCCTCAGACTCCTCCAGCACTAGGCGGCGCCTCAGGCTCTTCTTGTCTTTCTGCCTAGGCCCCTTTTCTGAGTCACTTACTTATAGGACACCAGGACTCCCCTCGGTGTGGCTGTGATGGCTCTCTGGAGGCTTGTGCCCTGCATTTTGGGCAGGGTGCCCCATAAGTGATCCTTCACCCTTCTCAGTGTAGTATGTTGGGTACAGGATGTAACTATGTCTCGTTCTCTGTGACACTTCTGCCGGCCTCTTTGTCATTGGAATGTGTTGTGTGGCGTTGCTTTGACACTATGCAGATATCCTGGTACTCATCATAAGTCTCCCACTCCTGGGAGCCTCTGTCCCTGGTCTTGGTCTGCAGTTGGAGCCTGGAGATATTTGCTCCATCTTTTCAGTGTCTTGAATTCCTGCTTAAGGAGGGGGAGGATTGTTCGGGGTATTTCAGTCACCCAGCTGTGGGAGAAGGTAGTCCCCATGTGATCTTTTTTTTGGTACTGGGGATTGGACGTGGGTCCTTGCGCTTGCAAGGCAGGCGGCGGAACCACTGAGCTAAATCCCCGGCCCCATGTGATCTTCTTAAAGTTAAAGAAGTGGGCTTCCCTTGCTTATTACCAAGTCAGAGTTTCTTTTTTTGAAATTAGGTCTCACTGAATAGCTCAGGCTGGCCTTGAACTTGTGGCAATCTTCCTGCCTCAGCCTCCCCAGTGCTGAGATTACAGGCATGTGCCAACCACGCTAGGCTTAGAGTTTCATTTTCAGACAGGCAGGAAAGCAAATTTTTTTCCCCCAGTATCTTTTTCAGTAAATGTTAACCCTAATCGTGAACCATGCTGATTAATCCTCTGGTCACTGTCGCCTGTGAGTTACCAAGTGTCCATGTAGAGTTTTGCATTTGTATTCAAAGGAGGGCCTTTGCTTACTTTTTTTTTTATTCATGTCCAATGTTAGTATTAGGGTAATACTGGCTTTGCAGAATAGATCAGAAAGCTTTTAATTTTTTTCTATGGTCTGGACTAATTTAAATGACATAGAATTATTTGCTTTAATAAAACTTGTTAGTAAGGGCCGGGGATTTAGCTCAGTGGTTTTGCCGCCTGCTGCGCAAGCGCAAGGACCCGAGTTCGATCCCCGGTACCAAAAAAAAACAACAAAAACCTTGTTAGTAAAATCCTGTGGGCATGACGTCTTTGGCTGTGGTCAGTTTCCCAGCACCTCTTGGGCCCAGTGGGCACCTAACATTGCCTGTAATCTCCTTCCTGTCTGGATTTTAAAATTTACTGGCAGATGATTTTACAGACTTTTTTTAGTGCCTTAGAGAGACCTGTCTGTCTAGAGTTGTAGCCTTTTCCCACTGAGGTTTAGATATAGTCCCCCTTTTTCTCCTTAGTGTTGAGTGCTTTTTCAGCAAACTGGCTTGAAGTTACTTCATCAAGGCTGGTCATTCCCACATCTCTCATTTCATTGTTTTGCTTTAATCTGTACTTTTCATTCCATCATCTTCACTTTTTATCATGCAGCTTCTTTTCCTGGTTCTTTATTTCATTAGCATTGTAGAATCATTTTTTAACAAGTGAACTCATGACCCAGAGCTTTAGAATTTTTCGATCCCCCTTCCCTGTCTCTCTGGTCCTTTGGCAAATCCTCTCAAGGAACGGGGGACAAGATGGTGCCACTTCTGCTGTAGCTGCCCAGCCCAAGCTGTCATCGTATCTCCTCTGAGCGGCTGTGACAGTCCCTTTCCACCTCCAGTGGGGTCTCCCTCAGACAACCACTCAGCGAGGGAGCTATGTCCGCCCCAGTATAAATGCTGCAGGGAACACGTGGAGTTGGGAAAATGTGAGGGATCACTGGGTCTCACTGCTTCACAGTAATTACAAGCATAGCCGTGTGTGTGTGCCTGTGTGCATGCGTGTGTGCACAGTCTGGAGGAGAGGGCATGTGGCTCTCTGAAGATCATGGCTCTCTCCCCACAGGGGTCAGGAGCAGATGGAGGGTGGCTCCAAGCTTCTCTCTGGCTGTGGCTGCCCCTGCTTATGTTCTCTGTCCCCTGAAGCTGTGACCTGGTCAGAGCCCTGCTGGGAAGCCCTCAAGGCTGCTCTGCTCCGAAGCTAGAGACTGGTTCTCTGGGCTGTTTCGCATCCATGTCAGACCCCAGCCCAGCCCAGGACAGCAGGGGCTGTGCAGCGAGGACAAGTGACAGTCCTAACACAGCAATCTAATACGAATGCCAGTGGCCATCGTGGGCTCTGAATCTCCCGTTATTGTAGCCCCAGGGAGAATAATGGGCCATGGTTCAATTCCGTATCGCTTTTGAGTCTCCAGGAATTGAAGTCTGAAATCAGATCCTGCAGTATGATGACCCAGAAGCCATCTCTCTGGTTGCTTACTTTCTGGGTGTCGATGCCCAGTTGAGTCTGAGTGCATTCAGCAGCTGTATCTGAGCTGTGTCACATATGTGTCCTCATAGGTCCCTTGGGCTTTGGACACTGAGGTATCCTTGCACAGCTCCTTAGCTCCTTGTTAGAAGACCAAGCAGCCTCTGACTGTCTGCAACGTGCTCACAGGCAGACTGAGGCCAGGAGGTGTCTAGAGAGCTCCCACCGACAGAGAAACCCTTGCCTTACATCTCCACAGGGGGCACAAGGGTCTGGTCGCATGGAACCCAGAACCTCAGAACTTAAAGTCAGCTGGGACCTCAGCCCCTCAGAAGTGAGCCTGGTACTGGGCCCATGCGTTAGTTCTGGGTTTGGGATTGAGAACACCCCCAGGTGACAGGTACCTACACTCTCGGGGACCCAGGGAGTATCCCTGGACTCCAGGGCTGGCCTTCCAGCTACCTCCATCCTGACTGTGGAAGGTCCCTGCTTCCTGTGCTGTCCACCTAGGCCTGGCTCTCATGCACCCAGACACTCAGCCTCAGTGCCTGAAGGACCTGTACGGTCCCTGTTTGCTGCCAGACAGATGTGTTTCCAGCCAAGTCCCCAGGGAAGGTTCTTTTCCAGAGTCCCTGGTCTCTGATGAGGGCCAGAGCTGGGCATCTGCTGCCATGTGGGAATCTTTGTCCCCCAGGATGGCTCACGACTCTGGCCAAGTGCTCTGTGAGGCAGGGATGCCAAGGTGCCCTCCTGTTACCATGGAAGTGGTGCCACAGCTGGGGAAAGTGCTGTCCTAGATGTCACTCCCATATCCTTGGCATGACACTGCCCAGCAGTTCGGCAGGGTGCTGGCCTGGCCTTGGCTTGAACCCCAGTGTTAGGGTTACCAGCACTGACCTCTCGGCTCTGTGAGAACTCCAGACAGATGCACAGGTGGAACAGAGGAGAGGGGCGGGGAGAGCTGCCTATAGGGGATGTGCTTGGGCATCGGCCCAAAGCTCCGAGTCCAGAACTGATATCCCCTCTGCCACCCCAGGGGTGAATGAGCCCCAGTAGGTCATGGCCACGCTTTGGAGAGCAGAGGCCGAGAAGCAGTGCTGTGTTTCTTTCCTTCTGCCCATTTTCCCCAGCAGCTTGCCCTGGGTGGTGTTTCCTGAGTCTCCCCTGGTTTGCCCATGTGCTGCCATGGACAGTGGTGGGCATGATGACAATCACTCACGTGCACCCCCATGACTCCCCAGGACCCTGAAGAGGCAGGCAGTCTGGCACTGTCCAGAGGGGCATGGACACCAGCCTTGTCAGGTAAATAGAGAGTCCTATAGTGCTGGGCTAAGTCTCTGGCTAGGGACCCTGGCAGCCACTAGGGGTGCCCGGTTCCCATCTTGTGGGTGCTAGCAGAGGATCCTGCCTACAATGTGGCCATGACCACACTCACCCTGCCATTGTGGGTAGAAGGACCCTGAGACTTGATTAAGCACAACTTGATTATATCAACCTAGGAGCCCAGATGTAGATTTGTAGATAGATTTTTGTCTTTCCTTTTAAAAACTGTTTATTTTCCCTGGCCAGTATAATTTTTATTGGGGACTTCACCCTTTGACCTACACTGGAAAAAAAATGTTACCATTTTAAGACCTCTTAAAACATGTCTTTGGATTTATTGTGGGTACAAATGGAAATTCAGATAATAGTTCTGTTCTTAATTGAAGGAAAACAGGAAAAGAAAATAAATTCTTGCTACTTGGAATGATAAACAGGCTGAAATGTGTGCTGTATATCCTGGCAACAGAAACTCAAGGTCGGAAATAATTCCTTTCCTCCTGAGCCTGCCTTCAGTCTCCTGAGGAGTGCAGTGCTGAAATTTGCTAATTGTAGCTATAATTTTAGCATGCAATTAAACACATGGTTTCCTTTGCAGCTGATGTCTTTTTTAGCTAGTCTGACACAGATCAAATAAAAGCTTTGGATGTGAATGGCCACTTCAGTCTGACAGGAGGTCACTGAAAGTCACCATTCTCTGGGCACATTTGCTCCCCGGTGGGCCTATAAAAATGGTAGAGACAGCTTGGGCGCTTCTGGTACAATTTCCAGGGCCAAGTCCTGTCCTTGGGCCAAAGAAAACCAGCAGTTGGTGTGTGCCTTTGTCTAAGTCCTGAGATTAAGCCAGATCACCAGAGGAAGTGCTCCGGGCAGAGTAGAATCAGAGGTGGAGGGTCATGGTGGTGGGGACAGGGGCTCACAGAGGTCCCTTGGATTGGAGGAGTTGCCTGTGAGGCTGGCCCGAGCCCAGGAGGAGAGTAGCCTGGTTCTCCTGGATGGAGCAGGGACATCCAAGACCTGGTGCTGACACACTGGACCTGCGGTTTGCGTTCCTGCCACCTCACATCCTGTCACCTGTCTCCTGCGGTGTTAGAGGACACCTTGGGGACACAGCAACATCCATGCTGTTTTCTGCTCTTGGATTCTCCTCCCAGGTTTTTGAGTCCTTCAATGTTTTTTGGACAGAGCCCCCTGGGTCTCTGGCTCTGTAACGCTGTGTGTTGTTCTTTCAGATGGCAAATTTGGTGCCTACATGCAGGTGCATATTCAGAACGATGGGCCTGTGACCATAGAGCTGGAGTCTCCGGCTCCCGGCACTGCCACCTCTGACCCAAAACAGGTAAGTCAAGGGCTCGGGCTGTCTCCTAGGTTCTGGTAGCATGTTCTGGCTTTGGTTTAATCCTCAGTTAGCCGTGAAGGAAGCACTTTATTGCTGCTGCTTGCTTTTATTGTAATACCTCTCTTCCCGAGAGTGTGCATCTTCCTGGGCCTGTGGCTGGAGAAAATGTCCTGGCAGAGCCTGGTCCTGGGCTCCTCCTGGTCCTGAGCCAGGTGCTATGTGCCCACCTGCCACTGGGTGGCAGCAGAGCAGCGATCCTGGAGGGCTCTGCCATGCAGGAAGAATGGTTACCTGGAGGGCTTTTGTCCCAGGTGTGGTGGATGCTCCGCCCAAGGATCTTTGTGGATCCTCCTGTTTCTAAACCCATGTCTGACCTGGTTTTATTGCCAACTCTGTAAGCTTTCAGCAAAAAATGTGATTAAAACAGAAAGGAGATGTGTTGGATGTCCTTGTAGCCTGTGTGGTCTCAGCGTGCACGACACACTTTTAAGGGCTTTAATCACTCAGCACCAGGTGGGGGAGCCATAACCGAGGGAGCAGTTCTTGTTTGTGCTTCCCGGCTGAGGTGCTGTACAGAGGGCCATGCCGGACGTGCTGGACCCTTCTGGCGGGGTGATGCACAGAGCTACGTTTTTAAGGGGACCAGAAGCTTTCTCTTCTGTCCCTGACACTTTGTACTGATGTAGAAGTGGGGAGTCTGAGAAGTACTAGATTTCAGGCGTGGCCACTGAGGGTCTTGGAATTAATAATAACATTGAAAACATCACAAATGAACCTGTGTAGTGGCACACATCTGTACTCTCAGGGCTTGGGAGGCTGAGGCAGGAGGATTCCCAAGAGGTAGAGAGCAGCCAGGGTCCCTTCACAGTGGACTTGGCCTTGCTTCCTCCTTGAGGGTTCCTGGGCCTAGGCTGCCCTTGAAGTCCTGTTCCCCAGGGTGCTTTTTCTCTAGGTTTTTCTCCTGCCTCTGGCTATTCCCTCTGGCTTTATTTGATCATTATTCTGTTTTTTGATGTATTATTCTGCTTTAACTCTATTTCAAGAAAAATTTTAATCAAGCCTTTTCATTCTCAGTGTTTTTTCTGGAAATGGTAGTGATGCCTTCCACCTTTGGGATCTGCAGCCTTCTTTCTTTTTTTTGAGATATTTCTTTTTTTTCATGTTTAAATTCTCTCTCTCTTTTTTAAAATTTAAATTCTCTTTATTTACTAAATACTATGCCTGAGAAAGAGCGGAAGTGCAGAAAGTGAGGGAGACTGTGGGAGTGACTCTGAAGGGAGAGCAAAGCTATGGCCCAGCTTCCTGTTGTGGGGCTGGGTGTTGAGTATCAGGCTCCTTGGGAATCTGAGTGGATCCCAGAGGAGCCCCTGCTTTCAGCTTGTGGGGGTTGGGGAAACCTCAGCTCCTGTGGGAAGAGACTGAGGAATAGGCCATGGGGAATAGACGTTTGTCACTGGGAATGCTGGCCGTGGGTCAGGGAGACACCTGAGGGGCCAGTGAAGTGGACATGCTTTGTCTTTGTTTCCTGGAGGAGGCAGAGGAGAAGCAGCAGGACCTTTCAGGACCTGGGCCACTGGGGGCCTTAGAAACGATGGAGCTCCACCTGGAGGAAGGGCAGGAGGAATAAAGGCCTGTGCTGGGGCTTGGGTTTGGGCAGGCAGAGCTGAATGAGGCCCAGGTGAGAGGCTCTGGATGGGCTTCCTGGTCCTGTTGGAGTCTAAGCTGAGCTTACCGGTGGCTCCTCCCACAGTGTCTGAAGAAGGGTGAACAGATCTCTTTTGCAGATGTAGGACGACCCCTAGGGGAGGGACCCTGTGGGGAGCGCTGTCTAGCAGATGCACTCTTTGTGACACTGAGTGTGGCAGGTTCTTTGCCCAAAAGGGGAGCTTTCAGCTCTGCTGCACTGAGGTGTTGTCTGGTGCAAACATTGGCTCTTCTTAAATCCTGGAGCTCTCTCTCAGCCATGTGAGCTGCTACCCAGTTCTCACGGGCCTCTCTCTGCAGGGAGGTGAGCTGCCATTGGTAGAAATGGATGGTCCTCTCCCATTCCTCCTCTAAATCTTGGGCTCGCTTTCTATAGATCTTCAGCTCTTCAGCACCTTGGTCCATCTCCTGCAGGGTGGACAGTTTCTGCTCTTGTTCTGCCCAGGATTTCGCCTGCACTCTCAGTTTCCTGTGGCAGCTCAGGACTGTTTGTTGGTAAACTTGGGTCCTCACTGTGCGCTTTTGCTGAAGCTTCTACCACTCCCTTTCCAGCTGTGTGTTTGCTGACTGCCAAGATGCTCGCTGAGTCTGGAGATGTTGCAGAGACTCCGCCAGTTCTTCTTCAGTTTTCTCAGCCTCCAGGAGTTGAGTGTGAAGTTGATTTCTTTGTTCTTCCATGGTGTTTAGGGAAGCCTTTAACTGAGCACCTTAGACCAGTTTCTCCAAAGCTCTTGTTGGCCAGTGACCTAAGCCAGGACCATTTTCCAGTTGACTCCTCATTTTCTGCTGCCGGTTCCCAGTGTGTGTGATGTCTTCTGGGTGCCTGGGAACCCAGCCTTTTGTGGTGATGAGCAGGTGCTCAGTCAGAGCCTTGATGTGTTTCCCTTTCTCCCAGAGCAGTTGTTCTGCTTGAGCCTGGGAGTCTTGCAGCATGGTCATCTGTGAGGTGAGTTCACTCACCTTCTCTTTCCACCCTTGAGCTTCCTGGAAAAGCTGTGTCTAGTCTTTCTGGAGTTGGGCGTTTTCCCTCAGAGCATCTGTCATTGCTCCCTGCAGACGTTCTTTGCTGATGTTCAACAGTGTGACCTTGGTTTCAGCTATTTCCAATGTGAGTGAGTTGGATTCCTCTGTTAGGGACCGGATCCTTTTGGAAAGCTCTGCCAACCTGAATTGCTGGTATTGAAAACGTCGTGTTTGCTCTTTGAGCTCTTTGAAGAGAAACCTTATCTTCTCTTGAAGTTTGGCTCTGTCCCTGGCCGCCTTCTTATAGGCTGCCTCCCAACGTTGTGCTTCCCTGGCCTCCTCTTCTAGGCGGGGGTCCTTGAGAGCTGCCTCTAAGTCTTTGTGTTCATATTGAACTTGGCTGAGTTTGTCCGAGAGTTGACATTTTTCCCGAATTAGTCCTGCAAGCTGGAGACCAAGCTGTTTTTCTCTCCTCACTGCAAGCCAGCTTCGAATGGAGCCAAAAGTCCTCCATGAAAGTTTGAGAAGAGTCAAAAGACCCACAATGGCTGGCCACTCCATGGCACAAGGCTGCCTGGGCAGTTGGCTCAGCCACTGAGTACTGGCCTAGAATGTTTAGGGTTTGGTCCAGAGCCTGGCAACAGGAGCGGCCCACTGCTGAGCCTGATGTGGGGGTGGAGTGAGGGGCACATCGGGTACAGGCCCTGGCAGGCATCACGGGCTCCCTTTCCCACTGCTGGGGGATCGTCAGGGCTGATATTGTGCTCTCTGTCCTGGAAAAGCACAGGTCCATGCACCTCCGTGAGCCTTTAATTTGCCCTCTCCACCCCACCCCACCCCCTCCCTTTGGTTCCACCTGGGTTGGTGCTGTTGGAAGGTGTGGCACAATCATTTTTCAGACACTTTGGGTATGTGTATCAGTGTCTAAGAAATAAATCTTTCAAAGACATATAGCCTAAAATACTGCCAGACCAAGTATCTCTTCATAAGTCACTGAAATTATCTTGACAAAAAGGAAAAGTTGACCTCATTTCTTCTGCCATCACTAGACATTTTATTCTCAAATTTATCTACATAAACACACCTTGATCTCAGGGCCGTTTCTTGGTTTTTCATATGCCAGACTTTCTTTTGTCTGCTCCCGATCTCTCTATTTATTCTCTTTCCTTCTGTGGCTCATTTTCTCTTTTCCATCCCCTAATTTTTTTTCTTTTGGTATCTCATTCTAAAATGATATTCTCAATCTGTATATCCTCCCTGAGGGATTTAGTCAACTTTCACATTTTTCACCCATCATTTACTATCTCTCACATCTCTGCCTCCATCCAAGGTCACCCCTAAATTCCAGCCCCACATATCTGGCTTCATGTTAAATACCTTCACTGAGGGCCTCAGTCTCTGTATCCCAAACAGAACCCATCTTCCCCTCACCTCCTCTCTCCTCCTTTTTTTTCTTCAAGTCTTTGCCATGGCCTTTGTATTTTTCCTCTTGTCTGGAATGTTCTTTCTATGCAGTTTGTCCTCACCTGGATAACTTTTCTCATTCGTGCAGGTTCACATTAGTTGTTTTTTTTTGAGAAGCTGGTGTGACCTGCCCCTTCTCTAAGCTCCTGCATACCCTGCTCACCTCCAGTCACTGGACACCATAGTGTAGTTTAATCCCTTGTCTCTCTACCATTAGACAGTGTGTTCTTTCAGAGCAAGACTACATGTAAGCACATTCAGCATTCTACCCTCAGGATTTAGCACAGTTCATGCCACATGCTAGGAATTCAGTAAGAATGAAATTTTTTGGCCAGTTGCTTTTAGGTAACCAATGTGACTCCTTCTTTTTGTTTGAGAAGAAATGTACTTACTTAATGTTGAGTGATTTACAATTCTTTATTTTTTTTCTTTCTCCTATTTCTGTTCCCTAACCCCATTCTTCCTCTGTATTTGAAGGTTGTTGTATTGGGACTTATCTAAGTGAAAGGCTTAACTTGCTTATGTTGGTTGGTTTATTTTGAATAAATAACAAAAAAAGAGATAATGATGTCTTTTGTGTGTGTGTAAAACACTTCCCAGTTGTATGAAATTTCATGAGACCAGAATCTTGAGTATGGTGTGAAATGAGAAGCCATCCTCACCAACCCACCAAACTCCCCCTGGAGAACTGCACAATTTTAGGGCTAGAAGTCACGTCAGCAGTAACTGACTCACAGCGTGCTTTGATCCATGGGTACCATGCCTCCAGATCTGTGTTGTCTCCTTGAGAGAGTCTGGGTTGAACTTTGAGACCTCATTTTTCACGTACATATCCTGTAAGGGTCAGCGTGGGCAGCAGCACTCTCAGCAGAGACACCGCAGAAAGGGTGAGCCGCAGAGGTGATACAGGATCTTTGGAATCAACATATACATCTTTCAGTAATGACAGCAGCTTGTCATTTTTCCTAGCAATGTCTCTCTTAATTTCCGGATGGTCTCTAGACTTAGATGTTTCCATGGTGTCCTCTCTTAGAGCCACTCCCAGTTTGAGGGAGATTTTCTTTTTTTTTGAAGGATTATGACTTTATTTGCATTTCCCTGATGATTAGTGATTCTTAAATGTGTCTGCTGGTGATTTGGATGTCTTCTTTGGAGAAATATCTATTCGGGTCTTTGCCGGTCGTTTGGTTTCTTGTCATTACGTAGTTTGGGTTCCTTATGTTTGGGATGTCAGACTTGCTAGGATTTGAATGCGGCTGCTCCTCCAGCGTCCCTTATTGGAAGCTTGGTGCTCAGCGTGACAGCGGTAAGAGGTGGTGGCACCACAAGACATGGGGCCTGGTGGAATCCATTGGCCGCTGTATTTGGAAGACACTGAGATCACTCTTGTGGGACCTGAACTAGTTCTGGCGAGCGTGGTGTTACAACATACGTGCCTTGCCACCTTCTGAGTCTGGGCTCCTGTCTTGCCAGTGCTCTTGCCATTGTGATGCGACCACCATGAGAAGATACCAGGGGAGTCCTCACTACAACTGGCACTGCGCTGTGTGAACTTTTAGACTCCAAAACTGTGAACTAGGGAGATTTTCTTTGTTCATTCTAATAAACCAAAGTTAGTTTGTTCCCCACCAATGTGTCCATGGACTTTATTCTTCATCATCTTCAGGACAAGAGCCCGCAGAGGTGATACAGGATCTTTGGAATCAACAGATACATCTTTCAGTAATGACAGCAGCTTGTCATTTTTCCTAGAAATGTCTCTCTTAATTTCCGGATGGTCGCTCATCTCTCGCAGGTCGCTATGGGTGGATGGGTGCCTCGGGACCGCAGACGGCTTCATCTTGCTGATTTCCTGTTCTGTTGGGTTCTCTAAGTTGAAATTCCTAACCGCTCAAGCCACCGCAGCCCCCATGGTCTCTATAACATGATGGACTCAGGTTCTCGACACACCTGCAGCCTTCTTTCAATGATTACCCTGAGTTTTCTTTTTTAGGTTAAAGGGTACAAAGATGCAGTTATCTCAGATAAATACATTTAGAGATGCAGTCTCTAAGTCCTGAGAATTGTAGTGAATGTCATACCGTGCTAAGGTTTTGTTAAGAGAGTAGATTTTAGATACTGTCACTGCTTGCATAAAAAAGGTAATTAATGGCCAGATGTAATGGTGTATGCCTATAACCCCAGCACTTGGGAAGTTGAGGCAGGAGGATTGCCAGCCTGGGCTACATAATGAATTCAAGGCCAGCCTGAACTACGTAGTGAGACCCTGTCTCAACAAAACAAAACAAAAAAATAAGAGACAGGAGTAGGGTTGTAGTTTACTTGCTTGTGGCTGATCACTTCCCTGTGATAACTGTTCAAAGATGTTGTGGATCCCTGAAATATATTAATAAATAAAAAACCCAAACAATTCAAAAAACAAAAGACAAGTAGGCAGTTTTTAGAACTTCTAATAAACATGTTCACTTATTAGTGTAAAAGACTTGTGGCCATTTCTGAATCTGAAGGAGGGTTTCTGTACATCTGCCCAAGTTATCCAATTCCAATTACAAGTATTCGTTTTTTCTGATCCCAGAAATGTGTCCCTTGGCTGTCCAGCAGGTGGCAGTGAGCGGGCAAGGCAGGGCCTTGGTGACCTGCGGTGCTGGCCTCCGCCTGCTGTTCCCTTCCTGTCCTTTCCTGTCCCTTCCCATCCCTTCCTGTCCCTTCCAGCAGAGCTGCTTGGCTGGCTTCTCTGTGGATGGGGAGGGCACAGCCAGGTGCACTTTGCCAATGGATAAACATGTGCTCAGGCCAGGGATTTAGCTCAGTGGTTCCACCGCCTGCCTTGCAAGCACAAGGTCCAGAGTTCGATCCCCGGTACCAAAACAACAACAACAACAACAAACAAAAACGTGTGCTGCCATTAATCACACTTTTAATTCTGAGTGTTTTATTTCCCCATTATATCCCACTGCTGCAATTACAGTGCAGAAAAGTGATTCTTTTGACATATCTCTGCATCATGGAGAAATGATTCTTTTGGACTGCTGTCTTTAGATGTAGGCTCTTTAGACAAGCATACACGTGAGCAGTGTACGCCTGGTGTGGGGTGTGTGGTCTGACAGACTGGGCTGTGGCCTTGAGGATCCTGAGCTCTAGGAAGGTTCGGTCATTGCTGTCACTGCTGGGCTGGGCCAGGCTGGGCTCCTGGGGACCGGGGCTTTCACTGAGCTGCATGATACCAGTGGAGAAGGGCTTCTCGGCTGTCCTTTTCAGGCTTGTATGTCAAATGGGTAGTCTTATTACCCAGGCTCTACTAATGGGCGGGAAGCTGCTGACGGTGTAGACTGGGCCGGGGAGTGACTCGAAGTTCGCCTGTCCTTGCCGGTCTCTGCAAGTGCTCTTGGCCACATTGGCAGCACTCGTGTCACATGGATCGCTGCTGGTGGGTCCCACAGTGGCTCTGACAGGGAAGAAAGCATGTTAGCTTGGGCTGGGTAACCTGAGTGTGGAGGGGTGGCATGTGTGTGACCACAGAGGGGGCTTCTGCCAAGCAGGGTGTTGGCATTTGAGGCCCACCTGCCTGCCGTTGTTGCCATTAATTCTGCTCTTGTTTTAAAACTTTTATTTTATTCATTTTTCTGTGGCACTGGGGATTGAACCCAGGGCCTTTGGATCAAGTTCCATCCCCAATCCTTTTTTATTTTTCGTTTTGAGACAGGGTCTCACTCTGTCACTAAATTGGCCAGGCTACTCAAACTTCTGATCCTCCAGATGCTAGGATGACAGTTGTGTGCCACCACGCCCAGCCTGGTCCCATTCAATTAGTGAGGTTGCAAGCCTCACTAACTGGAAATGCTGGGAGGAGCTAAAAAAACAAACTTCCCAGCACACATTCTTAGTTAGCTCATGCTCATTGAGACCACTGGGATGAGTTGACCCATGAAGATGGGGGCTACTGATCTTACAAAGCCTTCACTTTTACGCTTCCCTGAATAACACCATCGCTTCACCTGTAATCTCTGCTCTTGTGTCATCAGCCAGCAGCCGTCACTGAGCTGGGACCTTGGCCCGTGGGGACCGAGATGTTCCTGGATGAATGGCAAGAACAGCCCTATTCGCTTTCCTCCATTTAGACTTTTCCAGGGATGACACGGCAGCCGGCTTGGTAATGTGTGCTGTGGGGTCTAGGGGATGACTCGGAGGACAGATGAGGGCATGGGTAGGTTCTGCCAGGGAGCCCTGTTGCAGGTGCCTGATGTGCCTTCCACACCGCATGCATCCGTCTGGGAGATGGGGCACCGAGAAGCATACTGAGTGAAGGAAGAAGTAGGGAGCCGCTGCCCAGCTGGGTTACCTTGAGGAAGAACATTTACATGGGTGTCTCTGTTCCCTCGTCTGCTGTTGTTTTCTGCTTGAACCCTGGACTCTCGTTCCCTGATGTTAGTGGCTTTGGCATCAGCATCTCCATGGCCTGACCCAGGCTGTAGCTCTTGACTTCCCAAGGGGTGTTCACCAGTCTGGTTGCTAAAGCAGTACCCAGCTTTGGTCAGTTCCGCCACTCGTACTCAGCCATTTTGTCACAGGCACGTAGTGAACACACGTTGACTAAAGTCTTGTTGTGTTTTTCCTGAGGTGTTACAGTTGTGGTTTATTACGGTTGTGGTTTATATCTGGATGTTCCTCAAAAGCTTCATGTGCTCCAAGGTGGGGCTTCTGAAAGGTGATTGGACCATGGGGCGCCATAGGCCAGTGTGACGCAAGGAGGCAGGGCCTGGTTGGAAGAGGCAGATCAGTGAGGCGTGACCTGGAGGTGTGTTTCCCTCCTTGCTCCTCCCTTCTCTCTCTGATTCCTGTCTGACATGCTTTCCTGCCTCAGAGCCAGCTGACTACGGGCTGAAATGGGAACCAAAATAACCCTCTCCTCTTTCAAGCTGTGGCGTCTGATGTTGTGTCTCAAGTGATGAGGAAAGTGACTAAGACAGTCACTAAAATGTGACAGTGGGCTACTACCAGTTGCTTCTTAGATGCAGTTTTGGTTGTTGCTATTGTTTGGTCCTTGTCATAGCTGGCTGTGTTGGTGATGCAGATTTCAGGACCCAGCCCACTTCCTCAAAGCCTTCCCCTAATACACAGATACACACAGACACACACACACACACACACACACACACACACACACACCCTTCTGTCAGGCCCACAGAGTCATGCCTGGTTTCTGATCCTTTTGGACTGTACCTCTGCCCACCTTTGAGTTTGGACAGCAACACCGTCTTCTGGGCCATAGACTGGGTGACTGCTGTCCCTGCTCGGGCAGTCAGAATCCATCCCCTGGTCTGGCAGTGCCTGGTGGGAATGTGGCTCTGCATGCGTAGCTGACTGGTAGGGAAGGTGCCACCCCGGTGCTTCCGGACAGGCTGGCCTCTTCCTCTGGGAGAGCTGCCCAGGGTTGCTTTCATTTTAGCCTTTAATTTGCTTCTGTGCAGACGGTTGTCCGAAGTCAGTGTAGACTTCCCAGGGTGTATGTGATGGCTCGCTGCATGGGGACCCAGTGATTGATTGGTTAGCTGACCTTCGTCTTACCTTTTTAAGCCCATCTTGCATATTAATGAATTTGCAAAAATGGAAGTGTGTTCCCTGCTTTTGGAATTTGGCTGGTAAATTTAAAACTATGAACTGCTCCTCTTCTACCTTTGACATAGGTAACATTCCTAATTTCACCAGAGCAAAACATCTGTTTTGCTTTAAGCCAATTTCTCAGGACATTATTGGGTTAGTGCGTTAAAAGTTTAAGAGCCGGGCTGGGGATTTAGCTCAGTGCTTTGCCCGCCTGCTGCGCAAGTGCAAGGACCTGAGTTAGATCCCCAGTACCAAAAAAAAAAAAAAAAAAGTTTAAGAGCCTTAGGGCCGGGGATTTAGCTCAGTGGTTTTACTGCCTGCTGCGCAAGCACAAGGACCCGAGTTCAATTCCTGGTACCAAAAAAAAAAAATGTTTAAGGGCCTTAAACTTGTGTTTCAGGCATATTCTTATTTTTTTTTAACCTTATAAATTCATTTGTGGGTGTGTTTAAAAAGAACCAACAAACTCCTGGTCCTACTGATTTGACCAGCCAAATATTAGTAGCATCATCCCTCTATGGGTTTATACATTGAGCATAGCAGTAATTCAGTCCTGTGGACTCAAGATTTAAATGAGGAATGCCTAGCTCTTTAGGGAAAGTATTAGGAGCTTCACTGTCCCGCATAATTGAAGAAAAATGTTCTGCCATTCAGTGGTGTTTTGTAGAAAACTTTGTTCAAACATTTGCATCAGTAACAGAGAAAGAAGAATGGTCTAGAAGTGATAAAAGTAAAAACTGTAGCTCTTGCTGTGAGTGTTTTACAGGTCCACCCATAGATGAAACACTCAGCTGCACTGAGATGTTGCCAGGGTGCTGGAGAAGGCATGAATGGGTTTGAATCCTGTCTTCAAGAGGCCAGGATGGGCAAGTGGGGTGCTAATTAGATTGAGGGGCTCTTAGGGGTTCACAGGCTTCCCTGAGCTCATCTTCGGGTTATTTTTGTGTGAGTCCTCTACTGTGTACACAAGTGTGTGTGTGCATATGTGTGCCTTTGCTGGAGAAATGAGAGGGACCTGGGCTTTTGTCACATTCTCTGAGGCCGGAAGCAGCGCAGTACCGGGGTCTGAGGGCAGCTAGGTGCTAGTCCACACAGTCCTCCATTGGAGCTGCTGGGGAAGACTGAGAGCCCTGCATCATGCCATCCAGCCCGAAAGCAGGGCTTCGGGCACCCAGGCTTTCTGAACCAGAGTTCTTGTGTCTGGGTGTGAAGTGAAGATAGCAGCATGTTTGAGCGCTGCCCAGGTTCCCGTGTGCTCTGGGAGTGCACCGCCATCTGGGACCTGCTGGACCAGAGGCCTGGATGTCGCTGTCTTCATCTGCTTCTGTGTCGGTTCCTTCTGGAACGCTCTGCCCTCCTCCCCTCCTCACTGCTGAGGGTCTAAAAATACTTGGCAACCTGTGGCCTTGTAGTGCCCGTGAGCAGGGCGGCTTGGCCTGATTGTTGAGGTCACACGTGAGGCTGTTCTCTCAGTCCTCAGGACCTTCTCAGTCTCCTCTCCTCCACCATTTATGAAAATGTTCTCAGAGCTGGTGCCTGCTCTGCACAATTACAGAAGTGTCAGGAAAAAGCCGAAGGAGCGACAGCACTCAGTGCCTTAGTGACTGGTGACTGGCCCTGCTGTGAGTGACACTGAGTCATGTGCTGCTGCGGCAAGCCAAGCCCGACATGCGGGGACATGAGGAACACTCCATGGCCAGGCAGGTTGCTTGGGCGTGGCCTCTTGACACTTTGGTTGGAAAGTCATTTACAGTTCTCAGTTGCATGGGTTCTGGGCGTGGAGCACCTCACCCGTGTGCTGATGTTTGAAGGGCACCCCAGGGTGACCAGTGCCCTGACCTCTGCATGCGATTGCAATTTAATGAAATGTGTGGATGTCAGGCACCCAGGCAGTTGGCTGATCTGGTTTAATTTTACACTTAAGCCCACACAGACATTGCTAAGGGTTCATATTTGACAGTGTATTATTACCTAGACAGTTTATGGTAAAAGCTTTTCATGGTGAATCAATCCTAGACTGGTTTACTGCGGATCAATTGCTGTTTCTTGAATCAGCATCATTATTTTTTATCCTTAGCATCTCTCATCATCCACCTGGAACGAACTCCTTCTTTGTCTGCTGTTGCATCTTCCCCACCTTTAAGGTCTGTTTTGGACAGTGGCTCCTGCAGGATGTACCCTCTGTGCCAGCTGGGCTGCCTTCTCGCCTCTGACTTTCTGAGGCGTGGGGTGTGAGGGTCCCTGCTGGCAGTGCCTTTGAGCAGAAGCCTGCACCTGTTTGTTTGTTACCTTGTCTGTGTGCTCAGCAATCTGCTCAGCCCTCTGCCCGCGTGCCTAGCACTCTTGTCCAGTCGTCTTTCTGTCCACTCACTTCCCTGGTGCTGGTGTGGTGCCTGCCAGGGGCTGGTCCTGGTGTGGCCCTGGTGCTGAAGGGCACCGGTCCTCAGGGAGCTTGTGGGCTGGTGGGGAAGGTGCTGATTCCAGTGTGGTGTCCATGGCTCGGGCTGAGACATAAGCAGGGCCGGATGCTGAGAAACACTGCTGGGTTAGGCCCCTCAGCTGCAGGGCCCTCCTTCACTCCAGCGGGAAGCCAGTTCAGATGTTTGCCCAGTTTACCTCCAAGACACAGGAAAACTTTAATTATAAAGAGATATTTTAAAAAGTCCAAGAAGCAGCACTTATATTGAATTTGATTTGTGTATACCATTTTAGCTAATTTGTCCCAGAAATTTCTAAATTTAAGTCTTAAGAGCTTGTCAGAGAAGAAAAGATTTATTTTTTGGAAAAGCGTGTTCCCCGGTGTTCCTTGGTCTTGGAAATTATGGGAGGTCATTCTCAGGACTGGGAGGCTGTCTTGGGGCTGTGGGTTGCAGGACAAGGGTCTCATGGGGTCCCCTTCACACCCGATTCCAACAATCCCAGCTATTTTTTCTTGTCAATAGGAAGCACAAAAGCCTACCCTTGTGTGAAGATTCTCCTGTGACTGCTTTCCATAAAGTGGGAAGTCAATTTCCTTTTCCATTTTCAATCATAAAAGTGAAGCCCAGAAGCCGCCCTTTGTGTGTAATGGAAAGATCTGAGCTTGTGGCCCCATTTCCATTTCCACTGCTCCTTCCCAGCCAGAACGCGATCCCCACATCGCATCCCCAGGCGTGGACCGTGGCGGGAGGGCAAAGACTGCTGTTGACCATCGGTGCCGCACTGGGTCAGAGAGCCTTTGGGGAGAAGCGCACTCTCGTACAGTTTCCCTCCAGAATCCAGGCTAGCGCTGGCCTTGCACTCCATGGATTCTTTTTTCCAGGTTTATGTTGTCCCTTTGTCCCCTTCATTTTCTCCTAGGAAGAGTTTCCTATTATTGTGATTATTACTCTAAAAAAATTTCAAGCAAGCATGCATGTATTAACTGGAAAGTACCAATTTAGAAATGCTGTTTTTTAATAGAACGCTTTTATAGTATTCCTGGAGAGAAAAGGTATTTTTATAGAAATAGTTCTGTTCCTGTCTTTTATTTTTCATATGAGCCCTTATAATATTTTATATCAATTTTTGTTACATGTGATATGTAAAAATCAGTATTCTTTAAAATTTTAGCAGTTTAGGGCTGGGGATTTAGCTCAGTGGTTCTGCTGCCTGCCTCGCAAGCACAAGGTCCTGAGTTCAATCCCCAGTACCTCCCCCCAAAAATTTTAGCAGTTTAAGATGCACTAAAAATACTTTTAGTTGTAATTTCTCAGAGAGGGCTGAGTCCTGCCAGACGTCATAAAAACATGTTGATCTACTTTTGCACACATCATGGAAAACTTGAATTATCTTGGGTGTATAGACATAAAGGTTTTTTTAATATTATGGGAAAATAAACATAATATAAAACATATCATTTCAGCCTCATGTAAGTATTGGTTCAATGTCATTAGCACATCTATACTGTTGTGTGACCATTGTTACCCTTGTCCATTCCCAGACTCTTGAAATTACACCCATTATTAAAAAGTATCTCCTTTTTTTACCCGCCCCCCCAGCCCCTAGGACCCACCATTTCTCTTTGAATTTGACTATTGTTAAGTATCATATGAATGAAGTCATACGGCATTTGTCCTCCAGTGACAAGCCTTTTTCATTTAGCATAACATTTTCAAGGTTCATTCGTGTCACACCTTCTGTTCATAGCATGCCTCAGAAGTTGCTTCCTTTTAAGGGCCAAATAATACTACATTGTACATATATGCCACATTTTGTTTATCCATCTACCCATCCGTGACCATTGGGTTGATCCACTTTTTAGCTGTTGTGAATATCAGCACACAACTATCTCTTCAAGACCTTCTTTCAATCCTTTTGGGTAAGTACCCTGAAGTGGAATTGCTGAATCATGTGGTAGTTCTTTGTTTAATTTTTCCAGAAACTGCTGATGCTGTATTATTTCCCACAGCGTCTGTACCATTTTGCATTCCCACCACCCATGCCTGTACCGCCCTGTTGGAGATGGTGCCTTTGACAGATCAGGGGAAAAATTGAGTAAGAGGTTAAATTAATTGGAGAGGCTTCAGTTTTATACATAAGCAAATAAAAGTTTCATACAGTGTTAATTAAAAGAACCTCTTGTTTTGAGCATTATTCAAAATTCACAGTATTCTTTTGGTGAAGTTATATTATGGTTTTATTTTATTTTTATTTATTTAGATTTTTTGAGACAGGGCCTTGGTATGTAGTTCAAGCTGGCTTTAAACTCGTGATCCTTTTGCCTCAGCCTCTGAGTGCTGGGATTACAGGTGTGCACCACCATGCGTGGCTGACATGATTTTAAAAAGAAATCATGACTTAGGAAATGACTATGGATGATGCTTCTGTGTTTTATTTACTAATTTAAGATAGCAAGTTGTCTTTGAAGAATGCTTTTGGTTATTAGAATGTTGTGCTATGTAATGATATTCCATTTGATTTTAATTTCAGCAATGACAGAATATGAACCCAGAATTTTAAAGCCTGTAATGTGGTCTAGGAAATGAGGGTCTAGTGGGAATGCTTCCAGTTCAGCATCTTTGTTTTCTGAACAAGGTTGTGAACGTTCTTAAATTAATCTAGATACAAATAGCTGTGATTGCCATGGAATTTATGTGAGTGAAGATAGCTGACCAATGAGTTAACCCATTAGCAGGCCACTCCACCCTCAGATGAACTGGACTAGTTGCTTTATCTGCCTGAATTTGCTTTCTTTTTTTTGTTTTTTTTGCCACTGGGGATCGAACTTGGGTCCTTGCACTTGTGAGGCAGGCAGCAGAACCACTGAGCTAAATCCCTGGCCCTTGAATTTGTTTTCTTCGTGTACTGAGTGTAATGATTTCTGTTTATCACCAGGACAATGGCAGTTTTAACTATGGCCATTTTTCTGAAATACTCATTTTTATAACTTTGTGCTGTTGCAAACTGCAAACCCACATAAGAAGAGAGGACACTAAAACAGAGTGTCACATACTACTTCCCCGGGGCAGTGACTTGGGCACCGCAGGACCTGCACATGTACAGCGTGTTCCATGTGGGTGTCCCTGTGTGGGTGTCCTGTCTGGGTTGGCGACTGAGGCCCCGCCTTCCCCACTGGATGAGCTTTTACTTTGTTCTCATTCATTCTCTAACACAAATAGGCAGTGTGGCAGTAAACATCTGGTGCAGAAGAATTTGCTTTCTTGTGCAGGACAGTGACAGAACAGTGGCAGAACCATCTCAGCGTGAGGAGGCGTGGGAGCTTTTTTTCACCCCCGAGAAGATTTTATCACAGCCTGACAACCTTCAGCACTTTTGCTTTCTTCTCAGAAGTTCCAGGTTAATGATTGTCTGAGTTCAAGTATCTTTATTGGGATTGCCTTAGGAAGTGCCAGCTGAAGGTCATCTCTCCAGGTGCTGCCTGGCTGGGCAGGAGGCTCCTCCAGCTGCTCACCCAGGAGTCCAGCTCCCTCCAGCTCCTGTCACAGCCTCCCTGTCCAGGGCCCAGAAGGCTGGAGAGGCCTCCTGCGTTCTCACCACCCCCTTTGTTCCTGCTCCTGTCTGAGTTGCCCCTTCAGGAGAGATCGGGGATGCTGGGGCCCTTGGAGGCTGGAAGGTGTCACTTGTCAGGGCTGCAGCCCCCACATCACACACCACACACCAGGCATTGGGAGGATCGAAATCGAGCCCCTACCCCACCTGTCTCAGCACTGTCCTTAATTGGGGCCAGGTTAGAACATTGGTACATTCTGGTACCAACTAGTACCAGAGCCCTTCCAGAATGGGTTTGGTGTCATTTAACTTTTAATGGCAGTATTATTTTTTGTTATTGCTTTCCGTGAATTCTGTTTTAAAAACATTTTTATTTTGACCTAAGTTTAGTCATACAAAAAGAGTTGTAAAAATAATGCACACAGTGCCAGTGTCCTCTCACCCAGCTTTGCTCTGTGTTTGCTTGTTGAAGGGTGTAAGCCCATACATATGCACTGGTATGGCGCTCATCTTTGGACCTTATTCCAGTTTTGTTTAAGGCTATTCTCTTTTGACTACAGCCAGAGCTGTTCTTGGGTTCGTGCTGGCTTGTCCCTGTCACTTTTGTGCGAGTTGCTCTGGGACCATCCTGGGATTGCAGCTTGACCCTTTTGTGTGAGGGACACACACCCCAGCCTGGGCCTTGGCATTGCATGAAACTACTTCTCTGTTGATGCTACAAAATCAACCAAACCAAAAAAACAAAAACAAAACAAAAAACCCCAACAACAACCAAAAGAGGGAGTAGCTTTTCTGATTTTAGAAAATAGACACAGAAGCTCCAGTAGCCCTGGAGATTTTGAAGATAAATATGACCTAAAGCTCTATGTTGACCATTACTTTTCCCTGGTCATTCAGTCCTCTGTGGCTGCAGAAAACACCTCATCTTAACTGACTGGGGCACCCACAAGGGTTGGCCACCAAAGGGGTAGATTTAAGTCAGCAAGCGCTTGTCACCTACTGAGGTCTGGAATCCTGGAAAGAAGTGCAAGTGTGTTAGCCACCTGTCACGGTAACCATTGAAACTTGGTGGTCTGGAATGGTAAGTGCGAGTTACCTCAAGGGGTTTTAGGGCACCTAGCTGGGGGCTTATGCTCAGGGCCCCTGTAGAGATGGGAGGCTCCACCCTCAGGACGGCTCATTCACATCACCTGCGGCTTGGAGTCTGGCTTTGGGCAAGAGGCCTTGGGTTGTTTTGCAGTGGCCTCCATGCAGGGCTGCTGGACGTGGCTTGTGAGCTGGCATTTGGCTTCCCCAGGAGGGAGCTGCTCAGAGAGAACAAGGTGGAGGTCACAGTGTCCTTGAGGGCCCAGCTTCGAAGATCACTGCATCATCCCCACAGCGCCCCTTGATTAACTGCTCAGCACCATGCTGTACTCAGGGGCCCATCTTGGACGCTGGCTACCACAGTGGAAGACAGAAAGGTGGAAGCGGAGACTGAATCAGAAGGCTGGGTCCCCTACCGACCCCTGTGTCTTGCAGGGCGGGGATGGAGGAGCCATTTCCTGAGCCATCTGCCCTGCAGTGGGTGTGTGGGGGACTCATGGACTGAGGAGGAGGAGGTCACCTGGGAGATGGGTGAATTGTGTGGTGCATTCTGGGAATGTTAATTATGATCATGGGAAGGGTTTTTAAATGCATGGAGATTTGTTCAGTATTTAAACCTGGATGTGACTGAGGATATTTTTCAAACTGCATATTTTAAGATTGAACTTTATTTCTGTGCTGGGTAAGCACAACAGTGACTGTGAACTCCGTTGTTACATGGAGTTGTACCGCCTACGACCATCACCTGGCCACTCCTGTTCCTGGCCTCCATCTCCCTGTGTGGCTCAGAGTTTCAGTTCTAAAAAACTCCCTCCTCCAGCCCTTTCATTGTGGTGAGGCAAGAGCTCACCTGGGCCTGTTCCCTCATGGGGGTTATTGGGGTGTTCTGAGTGCTCGGCCTGGGAGAACCGGGTAGAAAGTGAATTTACTGTCCTTTGAGGTCATAATGTTCCCAGCAGTGCTGTCTGTCCCTAAATAGGATCAGGCAAAGGCAGTCCTTAGGTAGGAAAGTTTGAATGATCATAAATATTCGGGCCCAGTGTTTTAAAAATAGGTTTTCTTGGTCAATATTGAATTGTCTGCTTACACGAGGTGATTACTGAGCACCCTTCTGCAAGGGAATTTGAGGGAAGAGCATTTTGGGCAGAGGGCATGAAAGGGTATGTGAGTGTATTTGTTTTGTAAAGATTTAACTATAGGTTTAGATGTGCACCCATAGCCAGTCCTTCCTCTGTTTATACTTATTTTTATTTATTTATTTTTTTGGTACTGAGGATCAAACTCAGGACCTTGTGCTTACAAGGCAGGCAGCAGCATCACTGAGCTAAATCTCTGGCCCCCTCTATTTATACTTAATTTCTAATAATTAAAAGCTTGTCATGCTTTATGGCTTTTGCCATAGATAGTAATAGATGAAAATGTGAGTGAAATTGGACTTTCTTTTCTGAAGTGAAAGAATTCTCACCTCTGCTTCACTTCTCCATGGCTGCGGGTGCCGGGTAGCCTGAGCGCAACCCCAGGTGAACACACAGCTAACCTTGTTGGGCAGTAGAGGGAGAAGAAGATCGATAACTTGACGCTTCCCGATACTGATGTTCACACCATCTCCACATCTTTGGCTGAAATTCACGCCCCTCCTGGAATCCAGTTGATCCAGCACTGTATCCAAGTGTGGCTGGACTTCTTCCTGTGGTCTGTCTCTGGTGTCTTAGTCGTTCTGTCAACCTCTGTGCCCATCTCCCACCATTACCACACCATCGTGAGTGCTGTGGTATGGGGTGAGACTTCATCCCAAGCACAGTGTTCCTTCTGTTTCCTCCTCTTAATTTAGATTAGCTGTTCCAGGGCCTGGGCATTTCTGTCTTAGTTTTAGGGAAAGCTTGTCTAAGAGTTTGATAGCAGTTGAATTAAGCCTGTATTCAGTTTGTAGAGGCCTAACTTCTTTACTGTGTTGAGTCTTCTAATCTTTAAGCATTGTAGGTCTCCATTTATGAGACTTTTTTTTACAAAGTACTTATATTTAGAATCTAGAAAGAGCATATACAAATCAGTAGCAAAAACGGCTGAAAAGCCACGTGAAACTGGGAAAAGGCCATTAACAGGCAATTCCCAGAAGTACAAATGGTGGACATTAAGATTTGAGAAGAATTTGGGTGTGGTGGCATACCCCTGTAATCCCAGCACTCTGAGAGGCAGAAGTAGGAGGGCTGCATGTTTGAGCCTAGCAACATAATGAGATCCTGTCTCAAAATAAAAGTTAAAAAGGGCGGGGGCTATAGTTCAGTGCCAAGGCCCTGGGTTTGACACCCAGATTAACATTCCCTTCAGGACTCTTATCTCACGGTTGTTTTTTATTGCTGTCCAGGGCCCAGGAGGGGCTATGGTGCAGGTGGGACCATGCATCTTCCTCTTAGTCCCCTTGGGCACACGGGCTGTAGTGAGACTCAGGAAACGGCAGGTCGTGGTTTCTTGGCAGT